GGGGGAGGCCGCCCGCCCGCCCGCCGTGGCCGCGCGGTCCTGCCGGGATGGGTGCTCGGTGGAAGGGGCTTGCATTCTTAATCGTTTTAGTTGGTAAAGTGACAAAACTGTTTAAATTTTTTAAAAAAACAAACCCCCGAAAAACAAACCTGAATGTTACAGGGGAATTATTTATGTTGTGGTACAGACTGACTTCGTTAAAATTGTGTGTGTTTTCTTGGAACTTGATTTACCTCTACTTAATTGCTTAAGTGTAGGACAGTACAGCTCTTTCTATAGGAGTTTGTTTTCCAGATTTTTTTTCACTTGTGGAATTTTCCAACACTTAGCTGAGGATATTTGCCTTTATATATAAAACTGTGAAAAAAAGTTCATTTAGTTTTATTTTACCAACTTGCTGCAAGTAGTTGTGGACATCTCATGGGCCTGCAGCCAGCAAACCGAAAAATCAGTGGTATAGATTGTTGTAGTTAAAGGCACCAGTTTTAGGATTAACTACAACAATAGTATTGCTTTCTATGAGTGATAACATAAGGATAATTTTTATTATTTAAAGAGGTGATGGGATAATGATATTTAAAGTCAGCTTTGGAGACTAGTTTGGAAGGAATAAGTTTTCCTGGTAATGGGAAAAAAAAAACAAACTGATGTTAGAGTCTTGGAGAAATAACAGAATAATGCATTTTGCTTTTTTTTTTTCTCTCTCCCTTCCAAGTAAGGCAGAAGGGAGGTCTTTTTGTTTATTTTGGGTTATTGGTTTAGTTTGTTTGGGTTTTGGTTTTGGTGCCTTTTTTTTTTTTTTTTTTTTTTTTTTTTAATTATGGACTGTTTTTGTTCTGTTGCTGAAGACCAGAATCATTCCAGGTATGGAAATGGGAATGGAATGGAAAACAAGGTTTGAAATTAACTATCCTTGATTGAGTGAGAGGAGAGAAAGGAGTTGTTTTGCAGCCTCAAACTAGCCTGAAAGCAATTTTATAATTTACAGCTTTCTTTACAGGGAAAAGTGAATCAGCATCTCTCCTGTATTGAACAGGGCTGAGATTCATGACAAGTACGGTAGATTCTCTGCTGTGGGGTATATGGAGAAGTCTGGATGATACAATCTCTGTACATTTTTTTTTTTCCCCATGCTTCTCTGTGGACTAAGTTGTGACTTTTCTCCATTGTGGGGACAGTCACTAATAGTATTTTCCCTTCTTGGGGAGCAGTGGTTTGGTTTTTTTTTTGATCTTTAGTAACGATCTCCTGCCAGCAGGTAGGGAACAGGGACCTTCAGTTCTCCCAAGTCACAATCTGAGAATTCTGCAAAATGGAGAGAGTGGGCTGTCTGTCTCTTGCACAAGGAAATTGTGTTAAGACTGTACAGAACAAAGAAGTTGGGTGGAGGGGTGAGTGTGGAGAGAAATATAGATGGAAATTCACTGATATTTAACCAGTTTTCCTGCCTCCTCCCTTTCTTTTAACTTACAGATATCCTTGATTTGCAGAAGGCACCTCAAAATGTTGAGTCGAGCTGCTCTGAGCCCTTTTGTCCGTTCCCCTGGATGGTGCTTTGTGTTACCGCCACGTGCCATCACAGCCATTTCCCATTTATGTATGTATGAGAGAAAGCACACGTTTCTAATAATGTTGGTCAGTATGTGTCTGGGCAAGCCTATGCTCTTTCCTATGTTGAAAGGAAAATCACCTCATTAACGTCATTCAAAACCTACAATATCTAGACTGAGCTGCAGTTGAAGCTCTTCTTTCTTAATGAAACTTTCTCCCTTAACTCGATAATATTTGACTGGATGTGTGAGGGTGTGTTTTTTGTTCTGACATGTATTTCAAGCAAAAAAAAAAAAAAAATCTGTTGTGAAGGTACTGCTACTGTAAAAGTTCTTTGTTTCAACCTCATACATTCCTTGAAAACAAGAACTGATTATGCCTGCTCCCTCGTCTGCATTTTCAGCCCGCAGATGTCTTGAGTAAAGCAAGGCGTGAAGCTCAAATTCATTCAGATGAGATAGAAGTGGATACGTAGGTACCCTGTAAATAGTTGTTCCCTGAAAACCTGACTTGAGAGAACCATTCACTGTCTGATTAGTGGTCTGAAATAGCGAAGGCAAGGATAGACCAAATTACTAGATAACTAGATAACTAACTAACTAGATAACTAACTACTATTGCATACAAGAATAATTTTCCATTTATCTGTGTTAACAGTTCTCTTTGTTGGTACTTATATGAATTAATAAATGTTGAAATCTTGAAAATGCTAAACTTGTTTTTTTCTGAGCTATAGATCTGTTGATTTCTGCATTTGTAGTATTTCTAAACATTCTGCGTTTTCCAAAGTCAGTAAACTACTCATAGCTAACACTGAAAATTATTCCGTAGTATTGACAGTAGTCAGTATCCAGTATTGGAGGAACTCTGGTTCCTTCATCAGTTGCATTCTAAACCTGGATTGAGCATTTATCACAGTTTTCTTTTGTTCTCCACTGTTTCTGTTGTGATCCTGTTCAACTCGTGTGTATTTTGAAATTATTCTTCTTCACTCCTGAGAAGCAAACCTCATGCACGTTACATAAAAGGATCTGTATTGCTAAATACCAAAGTCTTTTTCATATGTTTCCCGTTCTTTATTAAGGAAGTCAAACTGTTAACAAGGTACTGGATATAAAATCTGGAATGCCTAGAAACATATTTGTCCAAAAAGTTGACTGAATGGCTGTATCATTTTCTCCCTCATTGCATATGAAGCAAGTCAGTGGACTTGCATCAGCAGAAATGTTTTGCAAATGTAATGTGGGAGCTGATTTCACATCTCAGTCCAGTCTAAAATAGCTAAAAAAGATAGGTTTATGCAGTCATAGAGCAAGGTTAACAATTAGGACTTTAGTGGAGAAGAATGAAATTCTCTGCTTGTTCTAGAACCTTTGACTTTGTTGTTGTTTTTCTGAAAATGTGGTTTCTTTTCAGATACTGGTTATCCCTCAACAGCTGCCTTCTTGGAAGCTGCTAAAACGTGAAGCTCTAGCCAAGAGAATTGGAAATAAATTGGTTTTATTCCTTTCTGGTCATGCTGTGTGTGATAGGCAAATACTACATAGTAATGTATAACACTGGAAAGAACAGTTAGATTGGATTCCTTCATCTGTTCTTTTGTATGTATTGCAGACCTTCTTTACATTCACAAGTATTTCCTCATAAAAATGAGGGGCAAATGAAACTCATCTCCACATTCCATTTTCTGCTTTTATATGCATGACATGTTAGTATAGCCCTCAGTTATGATTAATCATTTAAACTGCTTCTGTGTGTGCAATGAACAAAAGTTCTGTTTATTTAAAACATTGTTAAATGATAAGTTTCTCTTTTCTATAACATTATGTTCATTCCTGTCTTTCTCCAGCAGAAGTAACACCCAGAATAGCCACTTTAGGTTATAAATTAATCTATTTTGTATTACAGAGCTTCAGAATTAGAGGGACTGAACAGATTATCAGATAACTCTGACCATGGCATAGGATTCAGTTCACTGATTTGTGAAGAAGCCTCTAGATCTTCAGATGAGATACCAGTTAGGATTAACTAGAATAGGATATTTCAGGTGGAAGGAACCTATAACAGTCATCTGGTCCGACTGCCTGACTGCTTCAGGGCTGACCAAAAGCTAAAGCATATCCTAAGCATAGTATTAGAATGTGAATAGATCATATATGATAATATTAATAATATTATGCAATATTATTATATTGTCCAAATACCTCTTAAACCCTGACAGGCATGGGGCATCTACCACCTCTCTAGGAAGCCTGTTACAGTGTTTGAACACCCTCTCAGTAAATAAGTGTTTCCTCATGCCCAGTCTGAACCTCCCCTGACACAGCTGTGAGCCATTCCCAGGTGTCCTGTCCCTGGATCCCAGGGAGAAGAGCTCAGCACCTCCCTCTCCATGTCCCCTCCTCAGGAAGCTGCAGGGAGCAATGAGGTCGCCCCTCAGCCTCCTTATCTTCAAACAAGACAAACCCAGAGTCCTCAGCTGCTCCTCACAGGACATGGCTTCCAGCCCCATCACCAGCTTTGTTACCCTCCTCTGGAGACATTCAGGGACCTTCGCATCTCTCTTAAATTGTGGGGCCCAGAACTGCACACAGTACTCAGGGTAGGGCCGCACCAATTATAAACACCATCAGCATAATCACCTCTTTTGACTGGCTGGTGATGCCGTGTTTGATGCCCCCCAGGATGTGCTTTGCCCTCTTGGCTGCCAGGGCACAGTGCTGGCAGCACCCCTGGATCCCTTTCAGCAGGGCTGCTCTCCAACCATTCCTTTCACAACTTATACTTGTGCCCAGTGTTACTCTGTCCCCAGTGCAAAATCTGGCATTTGAACTTGTTAAACTTCGTGCCATTGATGATTGCCCAGTGCTCCAATCTGTCTAGATCCCTCTGCAAGGCCTGTTGTCCCTGGAGAGAGTCAACAGCACTTCTCAGTTTAGTATCATCAGAGGACTTATTAGCGATACAGTCAAGTCCTGCATCCAGATCATTGATAAAAATATTGAACAACACTGGCGCTAGCAGAGAGCCCTGAGGAATGCCACTGGTGACTGGTTGCTAGCCAGATGTAGCCCCATTCACTGCAACCCTTTGAGCTCTGCCATCCAGCCAGTTCTTCGCCAGTCACACCATTAAACTGCTCATCTCACAGTGAACAACTTGTCCAGAAGGATACTGTGACAAACAGTATCAAAAGCCTCACTATAATCTGGAAAAACTACATCCACCACCTTCCCTTCATCCACTGGGTGGATGACCTTATTGTAGAAGGATGTTAAATTAGTTAAATGGAACTTTTTCTTTGTGAACCCACGTTGACTGTGCCTGATGATTGCATTGTTCTTTAAGTATCTTTCAATAGCATCCAGTACGATCTTCTCCATAATTTTTCCATGAATGTGTGCCATCTTTTGACCAAGTTGGACTTTTGATCCCAGAGTGCGGTGTCAGTAGCCGTTTTTTCTGTAATTAGGTCAGAAGTGTTCTTTTTTGCTGTACTGGTATTTTTGGGACTGTCTAAAAGTTGACCTGATTTACTGCCGTTTCTGAATAGTAATACAAGAACTAGATGGAGGATAAGGAAATGTGGTTTCAATTTTTTTTCAAGTACTATGACTTATCCATATTATATTGTCTAGTTGACACATTTGGGCTGCAGGTGTTCTTATCTGAACTCCTGTCTCATCCTTCAGGCACAATTCACCATATCTCTGCAAAACTTCATATTAAGTATGTTGGTAGTGTTCTCCATCTGCCTTCATTCCTTCAGCTTAACTTTGGGACTCTGTGTGTTTGGATCTACCTCTTTGTCAGTTATAAAGGATCCAAACAGTTCCTTGTCATTGGACCTTAATAGTCACTCTGGTCTGCTGTGCTGATAGTGGTCTTACTGTCCTTTGCAGACACTTTGAAAACAAAGAATTTGCTGAGAAAGTTTTTGATCTTCTAGATTCCCAGAGTCAAAGCTCTGTGATGCATGGGATATTGCCTTATATACCTTAGGGATAGTTAGTGCTGCTCAGATGTTATTGGTTCTTATTATTTTGGTGACTTGAAATCTAGCTTCTCATTCCCAGTCACTGAGAAGTGTGTATTGTGAGCTTTAGCTTTGGAAAGGGAGGAAATATTTAATAACTTTAAGGGCTTAAAGTCTGAATGAAACACTTAAAACTGCATCTTTCTTTCTTTCTGTCTTTCTCCACAGATCTCCCTCACCGTAACCAAAGATTAAGGAATGAATCCATCCGTTGTTGGAGTAACATCCCATTTATCACCATGCCACTCAGCCGTGCACATGGAAAGTCATTTGCACACCGCAGTGAGCTGAAGCATGCAAAGCGGATTGTAGTGAAGCTGGGTAGTGCTGTTGTGACTCGAGGGGATGAGTGTGGCTTGGCGCTTGGGAGACTGGCATCTATTGTAGAGCAGGTAATTCTGTGACTGGAGTGGAGTGCTTGTTTTAACTTCAGATACTTGGTGATTGTTGGATGACACAGAAGATTGTTGGTAAAACTCATAAAAGAGTGGTGACCCTTTCAAGCAATGTGTTGGCCTTTTCCTTTTTCGTCCTCCTGTGCTGTGGTGGCATAAACCATGTAACTCAGTAAATCAGTGTTTGAAGGTGTGGTGGGTTGACCCTGACCAGCAACTAGGCACCCACACAGGTGCTTGTTCACTCCCTGCACCTCCACCCCACCACCAGTCAGATTGGGAAGAAAATAGGAAGAGCAAAACTAAGAAAATTCATAGGTTGAAATAAAGACAGTTTAATAAGTGAAGGAAATGGGAAAAGAAACAAGTGATGCTAAGGCAGTCATTCACTACCTCATACAAGCAGACTGATGCCCAGCTAGTCCTTGAGTGGCAACCACCTTGTAAGACAGCCCCCTGCCCTTTTCTATTCTGCTACCCCTGTTTTTTTACTGAGCATAACATTGTATGGTGTGGAATGTCCCTTTGGTCAGTTCATGTCAGCTGTCCCAAATGTGTCCTCTGCAAACTTCTTGCCCAGCCCCTAGCCTACCTGCTGTGATGGGACATAGTGGGAAAAAGAAAGCCTTGATGCTGTGCAAGTACTACTCAGCATGGGAAAAAGAGAAGGCTTTGATGCTGTGCCAGCGCTGTTTAGCAATACGTAAAACATTGGAATATTACCAACACTGTTTTAGTCCTGAAATCCAAAACACAGCACCACATGGGCCCCTATGAAGGAAGTTAACTCCCATCTCAGCTAGACCCAGTACAGAGGGAGAGATTTGCATGGTAAGATTTTTATGCAGCAGGTAAGATGTGACTGGGGTACTAGTTGGATCTAGTAGGAAGGTGGCACTGAAGTTTGTGAAGCCTGCAGGAAGAGTAGACCCTTGATTACCTCAGCATTTGCAGATTTTGTCCAGGAGAAAGCTTGAAACCTCATTACTTGTAGGAAAAACTGATGGGGTCAACTCATGGACTCTCCAAAATGAAATTATGACTTTGGGGGTGGATTGGACATGTCTTCTCTGGGGAGTAAAGTTAACATAATAAATGAAATTCATGTAAGACATTTAGCTTTAGATCTTTGAACGGAATCCATCCAGATGCCTGTAAGGAAGAAGTAATTAAAGCTGTACCAGAGTTAGTGTCTTCGCCTCTAGAATACAAAGTTACTCTATAATGGCAGCTTTGGGAATGGATTGTGAATGAGAAGGTTGGTGGAAGGTACAACTGCTACTTTACAGGTTTTTTCATATCTTACCTTATCTGTAGCGATGGAAGTGGAGGGATGAAAGGTACAGAAGTGTTACTATGTAATGTATATTGTGAAAATTCAAGTATGACTCTGTGACAAAAACTGGTATTGTGAAAAGAAAATTTATCAGAAGATATAGATTTCATGCAGTCCTTTGCATAGCTCCTAGGTGGCTAGGAAGGTGTGCAGGAGCATCTGAGAGTGATTGCCTTGCTTTGCGCATCCATGGATAAAGGGAAACACTTGTTCCAGCAAGAACTGGTGAGCGTAAGGTTATCTATAACAGCCAGAACTGTTGTGCCAGCAGGGATCATACTTTAGGCCTTGTTTCTTTTCTTCTCTACTTACAGGTGTCAATGCTGCAAAATCAGGGCCGAGAGATGATGATTGTCACCAGTGGTGCTGTAGCTTTTGGAAAGCAGCGACTGCGTCATGAGATCTTGCTTTCTCAGAGTGTGAGGCAAGCACTTCATTCAGGCCAGAGTCAGCTAAAAGATATGGTGAGTGGCTGGCGGCGCTCCCATGATTTCCTTGAATGTTGGGTAGTACCTGCTCAAGTCGCTACCTGACAGCTGTTCTGTATCTTTGTAGGCTATTCCAGTCTTAGAGGCCCGAGCCTGTGCAGCAGCTGGCCAGAGTGGACTAATGGCTCTGTATGAGGCCATGTTTACACAGTACAGCATCTGTGCAGCTCAGGTAAGGGCTTCCTTCTTTCCTAGACTGACTTGCTACTTCAGTCAGTGATGGAATTGTTCTTGGATTTTTTCCATGGTTTATATGCTGCTATCTTTACTGTAGTGTTGTATTTCCATTACCATCCTACTTTTGGGGTTTATTACTATAGCAGAAATGATAGCTTATACAGGAGTGCCTCGTAAGTATCTCAGAAATAGTGTTATCTATTGTCAAGGTGAAGCAAATACGCTTTTCCTTTTTGGAGTTCATGTTTGGAGTTCAGCTCTTATGAACCAGGGCAGGGGGGATGTGGATCCTGTTAAGGCCTCTTTACAAAAGCTAAAAGTTGGTGATCCAAAGGGAGGATTTAAAAATCACAAGTGGAACTGCCCCAGACATTCTGTAAAGCTGACAGAAGTGTATAGCCACACTTCAGAACTTGCTGTCCATCTGCTCCTCAAACCTTTCTAACTTGTGGGTGATGGTATCCCTAGCCCAGGTCTTCTACCTATACTGAATTCTGCAACTGTATTAATTGAACTACTCTTAAACAGGCTTTATTTATCTTAAATGCTCTGAGAATACAAAATTTAATCAACTGTAAGGCATTATTTGTTTAGACACTTTGAATGAATTTGGGAGCCAACTATGAAGTCTCGCTTGGAGGAAATTCTTCCTGTAATACAGTATAGCTGATACCACTAACATGTTTACAATATAGATTAAAAATCGCTATTGGTTGCACTGGATTATGATCTTGGTCAAGTCTGCAGACAGCTAGCATTCCTTCGATTTAAGAGAGTTACTTGCTTATGGCGAAAAAGTCAGTGTACACATTGATTCCAAGTGCTGTTTTAACATTTGTGAGTTGGAGCTTTTTTGCTTATGCAGATGTCCAATGTCAGAGTAAGAATGAAAAAAAAAAGTCTCAATGGCAGAGCAGACATTGAGGGGTTTTTTTGTCTTAAAATACTAAAAAGAGCTGAGTAGTGTCTGCATGCCAAAGGCTTTAAGACCAAGATTCTTTCAGAAAAGCGATCAAGTTCTAGAGCTGAAGAGAAGTCTTGAGACAAAGCATCAACAGTAGAAACATTACACTGGGAGGGAAAATAGGAAAGTCAGTGTCTTGAGTAATCGATCAAATTGTTTTGAGTCTTAGTAATAATCATCAGCATCTATGTTCTGCTTATGTTTTTTTTTTTTTTGCCAAGTTGCTTCCTGGAGCCTGTGATCTGTCAGCTTGAGAAAGGCCATTATAGGCTCCAGTGGATGTAAAGGCATATAAACCTGAAAATGTTGTGGAAAGAATATTTCTTACTTGTATTCTTTATCTTTTAAATGTGGCTTATGTTTCTTTAGTGTCCCGAAAGGCATGACTAATCTATTATAATAAGTTAATACATAGGTTTATGATGTTCTCAGGAAAAGTGGTAGGCTAAGTATATGTTATTTTTTTTTCCTCTTTTTAGATTTTAGTCACCAACCTGGATTTCCATGATGAACAGAAGCGTCGGAACTTAAATGGAACACTGCATGAGCTTTTAAGAATGAATATAGTCCCTATAATTAACACTAATGATGCTGTCGTCCCACCTCCAGAGCCGAACAGTGATCTGCAGGGGGTAAATGTGGGTAAAGTATTGCAAGGGGGTGGATCCTGCTTGTAGATGGTACAGCACTAATGTGTACTTCACTAATGCCATAATCGGGGACCTCTGAAGCCTGCAGCAGGGAAACAAACATACAAAATTAGTAATGTGGACAGAGGATACTGGAAGAGTATGCTGACCTGTCTGTTTCTGGCATGATGCAGTGCTGTGGGGTGGAAGAAGGGCAGATGATGTCTGCTCTGCCAAAAGCAAGCATGCCTAGTTTTGTTTTCGCTTAATAGTTGAAGCTGGAAAGGACTTCTGCAGTCATCTAGTCCAACACCTGCACTTAAAGCAGGGTCAGTTTCTACCTCTTGTCCTATCACTGGGCACCAAGGTGGAGAATGCAAGTACTGGTCACACTGCTTGTCATTTTGATACCTCTTTACTGCATTCCAAAAGCATATGTACTTTCACACAAAGATCACCTTCTAAGTTTCCGGTGGGTGTGAACAAGGTAGCTCAGAAGGACTTGGTAGTGCTGAGGTAGCTTGCTTTTGTATGTTACAGCCAAATATTTCCTAGTTCCTTCCACTGTTCAGTGCTGCTGATACACATGTGCATTGCAGGTGATTAGTGTGAAGGATAATGACAGTCTGGCAGCACGACTGGCTGTGGAAATGAAAACTGATCTCCTCATTGTTCTCTCAGATGTAGAAGGTTTGTGAGTCATTTCTTTACTTTCTTGTTCTGTTGAAGTACATCAGATAGTCTTTGGCTTATGTAACAGCATCAGCGTTGGGTATATGCCTTAAGGAGTTATTTTGTACGTTGCAATTGTCCCTGTAAAAGATAGGAAGAGACCAGTAAACCCCAAATATAGGTTGGTTTGACTGTCTGTCACACTGTTGAATTTGAGTGGCTGAAAATGCGTGTGAACTTGAGACTTATACCAGAACCTAGAATACCATATGTACTGTGGTACTTCTGCCAGCTTCTCAGAATTGTGTGATATAGTCCTGAGTAATACACAGGATAAAGGCTATGTGTTTAGAATCGGGAGTATAAGCCAAATACTATTCTACAATAGTTTGTTTCATCTGGTGGCAGGTTGTGTCTTTCAGTGTATTACAGATACCTTACAAGTCCTGATCATTCCCTTCCAGATGCCTGGAACTTCTTAGCTTTTTCTGTCTCCCAGACATTTGGCTTACACTGCTCTAGTCTTCTGAGCTGTGCTGTTGTGACATAAGTCTTTCACTTATGGATGTTCAAGGTCCTTTTCTAGAAGGAGGAGGGTAGTGGGTACAGTTCTGGATCAGTGAAGTCTACATCACCCATGTCGTGTAGTCTTTTCATCTTCTCCAGATGGGTTTCCTTCAGTGAATCATGGACTTTGGCACATATTATAGGCCCTGTGGAGGAAGGAGGTGCCTTTCCATAAACACAGTTTCTTTTAGCAGATTCAGCTGGATTTCATGGTTGGTTCTAGTTGAAATGACTGTCTGCAATACTAAAAAAAACTTGTAAAAAAAAATTAACACCCAGCACCCCCATCCTCCAAGCTTATTCATTCAATGTGACTTCTTGTTTATGGAAAGATGTGTGTCCTTTCCTTCCCAAGCTGTCAAGGAAGGACACAGATAGTCTGCACTCATGCTCTCTAATTTGTAAGGCCAGTATTTGTTCACGTAGAATTTCTGGGATGTGTGGTGGTAGAGTTTAGGTTTAATGTGTTAGGTAAACCAAAGCATCATTTAACTCCAAACATAGTTATGTAAAATTACTATATTTGTAAAGAAATTAATGAAAGTATGTCTCTGCAGTGTTGTGTTCCTTCTTAGCAGAATTTGGTAGTTACCCTCTTTATGTATTTCTGAATTGTCCAGTTTATTACTGTACAACACAGCATTCAAGAATATAATCTGTGATTTTGGTGAGGAGGACTATCCTTTGCCTGTTCAGTTGTGGGCTTGTATATGCAAGCCTTGATTTTGAACATATAAAAGCTGTAAACTGTCTCTGCAAGCTCAACCAAATGTCACTACTTCCCAGTTTGCATGCTACTATTCAGCATGTGGGTTTTCTGTTTCTTAATTGTTGTGCTTTTGGTAAAGCCAAACTTGTCTGTTAAGTGTTTCATGCTTTCAGTCCTATAAAAATCAGGCTTCAGTGAAAGTTTTCAGTCCTGTAAAGTAGAGTACAGCTTTTCAACCTCATGTTTTGTTTTGTTTTGTTTTCATGGGTGAGCTTTGAAGATGAAGGTATATAACACTAACAGAATTTTATTTTTTCTTTCAGGACTCTTTGACAGCCCTCCAGGATCTGATGATGCAAAGCTCATTGACATATTCTACCCAGGAGACCAGCAGTCTGTAACATTTGGAACCAAATCCCGAGTGGGAATGGGAGGCATGGAAGCCAAGGTAGAAATATGGAACATTTGTTTTGTTATTGGGAAGGAAAGGGAGATGTGGAAAAAGGAGATAGACAAGATGGTTGTGCTGCTGTTCAGATGAGACTTGACAGTCTGCAGAAAGGGGCAGACAGGAACCTTATGGAATGCAATAATGGGAAATCCTGAGTCCTACCCCTAGGGAGGAACAACTCCATTCACTGGTATTGGCTGTGGAGTTGACTGGCTGGAAGGCGGGTTCACTGAAAGGGAGATAGGGGTCCTTGTAGACACCACGTGGAATGTGAGCCAGCAATATGCCCTTTGGGCAAAGCAGGCCAACAGCATGCTGGGTTGCGTTAGAAAACATAGCCAGCAGGTCAAGGGTAATAATTGTTTCCCTATACTTAGCACTAGAGAGACCACATGTGTAGAGTTGTGTGTGGTTCTGGACACCACAGTACAAGAAGGACATGGCATACTACAGTGATTGCATTGGGAAGCTGTGAATATGATTAAGGAATCCAAGCATCTGTCATAATAGGAGATGCTGAGATCTAGGACTGTTTTACCATGGAGAAGAGAAGGTTTGTGTCTAAATATCTGAAGGGAGGGTGTGGAGAAGACAGAGATAGACTCTCCTCAGTGGTATCCAGAGAACAGACCGAAATACAAGAAATTAAATTGAAGTGTAAGAATTTTATGGTGAGGTTCCTGGAGCACTGGAGCAGGTTACCAAGAGAGCTTGTGCAATCTCTATGTTTGGAGATGTTCAAAACCTGACTGGACTGCGTCTTGAGTAACTTGCTCTAGTTAACCCTCCTTTGAGCAGGTTTGTATGCTTCTGAAGGATATATTGGTGGAGGCCATCATTTTAGGGCAATATCTACAAAGTTACTGCCCCTAAATTTCATAGAGCTCTTGTTGATCATGGTGCCTGCCTCCCCACCCACCCTCCATGACAGCATTTAGCACACAAAGGTTGTCTGGTACTGTTACTGATTTTAGTTCCCCCCTTCTGTGGACGTCAGATTATTCTTGTTTCAGACTTGCTTCTTGCCTTAGATCTTATGTGTGTTGCTTCTATACATTGCTTAATACACTGCAGTCCTGACCTTTGAAGGTGACTTCTAAATGCTGTACTTAGAGGATCCTCCTTCAAAATAACAACAAAGAGAGGGAAGAATGCCAAATAAAAAGTATATCATTCAAAAGTGAAGAAGTGCAAAGTCTTAAAATAGTGAAAGAATCAACTATTAAGACAATAGGTGTACTCCCAAACAAAAAGTAGAAGCAAATAAATAAAAAAATCCAATGAGAACATGCACAGGAAATGCGAACAAAGTAGGTAAAAACTTTGTGTGGAAACCTGAGTGACTCTTCAGGGAACTTCATAGCTTCACCAAAGGGTTATGAACAGTGAGAATATCTCTACGTTGTAAGCAGACCCATGAGGAGTGCTTAGGCTGATCAAACTTTACGGGAGTAATTCAGGCAGCTAAAGGTACTGAATAATATTTTAATTTTATACAGTAATGGCTAAGACCTGAGCAAGAGCAATGCTCCACAGTACAAGTAGTGTAACATGGTCGCTTGTAGTGGATTAATTATTGATGGCTAATCAATGTTGGGGAAATTGGCAAGAGAATCTTTCCAAAAAAGAAAATTTGGTTTCTTCAAACAGTAAGAACTTGCAGCATAAGGTAATGGTGAAAAATAACACATGACCAAAGTACCCATGCAGAAGTCTTGAAAAAAGCAGGCTGTTAGAAAAATTGGAGATACACTCATAAAGTGGCAGCTAGTTGAGGAAGGGAAGGTAAAGTACAAATACATGATCTCATTCAATGTTATGTTATGGACATTCCTGAAGTGTGTTGAATATTATTTGAAAGCCTAAGTGATCAATCTGGAAATCAAAGTGGAGCAGGAAGTCTTGTTGAGAGTGGTGATTCAAGTAACAAGTGAATTTCTTGGGACTGGCTCTGTCCTTCACTGTAGGTGAAAGCAGCCCTGTGGGCCCTCCAAGGAGGCACCTCTGTAGTGATTGCAAATGGAACTCACCCAAAGATCTCAGGTCATGTCATCACAGATATTGTGGAAGGAAAAAAAGTTGGAACCTTTTTTTCAGAGGTAAAGCCTGCAGGTAAGTACAGAGGTAATGGGTACATTGAGAGTTGTAGAGATTTTCTGAAAGGTTAGAGTTAAAATTTGGCTAGACCTTTACAGTAACTGGGAAACTGCAGTCTGCTTGAAAAATGGATTTTGAAAGATATTTTCTGAAGTAGGAATAGAAAATGAGTCCTCTGCTCTGCTTCCTTCCAGATAATAAGCTGCTGCATCGGACTTGCTTTTGAAGAATGCAATGAGTAGAATTTTTACCATTTTCAGTCTTAGGGGTTATAATCTAGTATTGAAGATTTCAGTGTGAAAATGTAGACATAGGATGTGCTGCTGAACTAAGATAGTGTTTAGTTTTATCATAAATTCCTTTTATGATTCAGCCTTCTGATATGGTAGGTAGGAATGTTTTCCTGCCACTGCATTGCTTGGATGGTGTAACAATTGCTGGAGAAAGTCAGACCAAAGATCCATGACCTTAGCAGAATAGGACAAGTATGGAGTGAAACTTTTTGACTTCCATTTTAAGCCAAGTGAATTTCTTTGTGTATAATAACTCAGTGGATTTCTTGTATGAATTTTTCAAATCATCCTTTAAACTCATGTAAAGACTTAGCAACCACATGGCTGTATGTCATGGTAGTCAAGAGCCTTAACTAGATACTGTGTGTAAAATCTGGAGCTAGAACTATGTGAGGAACTGCTTGCTTTAATTTGGGTTTGGGGAGGTGGGGAGGGTTTTGAATTTTCTTCCCAATAGCTTCATTTGATGCTCCTACTGTGTGTATGGGCGATCAATCCCTGTTCAACTTCAAAAATGTGAGACATCATCTTTTCCCCCTCATCATCATGTCTTCCACATGAAAAAGGTTTGATCGTAGACATTTTGTACCGAAGCTGTTCCAAAAACTTGGCCATCCCCATTTCTCTTGTTTGAAACTGTTTTCATTCTATTGTGGCCTTTTTGAGATGGCCAAAAATCAAAATTTCACATGGTGTTCCAGATGGGAATGCAACTTTAATTTATGAGATGGCAAGACTAAGGTTTGATAAGGTTGATGTTTTCTTTGATGTTCTCTAGGCCCTTTCTAATAATTCCAAACATTTAATTTGCTTTTTGATGTTGATGTTCACTGAGATGATGTTTTCATAGTATTATTTGTTACAGTACTAAGGTCTGATTTTCCTTCTCCCCTCTATACTGCTTCATGTTTATCTGGTTTGGACTACACTTGCTGTTTCGTGGCCTAATGACTTAGCTGCAGAAGAAATTACAGAATTGCTGAACGGCTGAGTTTGGAAGGAACAGTATGACAGATGACAAAGTCATCTGGTCCCACCCCCTACTCAAACAGGTTGCTCTGGACTGTGTCCAGACAGCTTTTGAATATTTCCAAGAATGGAGACTCCACAACCTCCCTGGGCAACCTTAGTTGTGCCAGTGCTCGATCATCCTGACAAGTGCAAAAGTGCTTCCTGATGAGAGGCACCTCCTGTATTTCAGCTTGTGTCCACTGCCTCTTGTCCTGTCTCTGGGCACCACTGAAAAGAGCCTGGCTCCATCCTCTTTACCGCTCCCTTCAGCTGTTTGTACATACTAATGAGATCCCCTTGATCCACCTTCTCCAGGCTAAACAGTCACAGTTCTCTCAGCCTTTCCTCATGTGAGAGATGCTCTGGTCCCTTCATCATCTTTGCAACCTTTTGTTGGGTCTCACAGTATCCATGTCTGTCTTGTACTGGGGAGCCCAGAACTGGACCCAGTGCTCCACGTATGGCCTCACAAGTGCTGAGTAGCGGGGAAGGGTCACCTCCCTCGACCTGCTGGCAACACTCCTCCTAAGGCAGCGCAGGACGCTCTTAGTCACCTTCGTGGCAAGGGCATTCTGCTGGCTTCTGTGCAACTTGGTGTTCACCAGGACCTCTGGGTCTTCCTCTGAAAAGCTACTTTCTATTAAAAAGTGTGATAATTACACTTTTCAGATAGTCCCACTACAATAAATTTGTGTCAGCAATAAAGCTTTTCATCTTATCACCCCATTCTGAGTCACGTACAAATATGGCAAACAGCAAAAGTCCTTGTGAAATTTTACTGGCACTCTTCCACTGTTGTGGCAAGTGTTTACTCCAGTCCTCTCTTTCTCTTCCATCTTCCAAAGAACACATGTTGGAAATTCAAGTGACTTTTAAAAATCAGCTATATCTGCTTATGTACATGTCGCTTTTCTCAAAGAACACCAAAACATACCATACTTTGTGAAGTAGAATTTAACTTTAAAAAACTGTTTTAACACTTCCTAAATAAGTCTGATTATTCATGTGTCCACAACTTTTCTTACACTTCGTACTACACTTCTTGATATTTTTCATAACATTGGAATTCCTTCTCTGGCAATTTCCATGGGACCCATCTTAAATAGAAGTTGGATTATATCACCTTCAAGTCATCTGTTTTACAAGCAATTTCAGGAGAGCTAAAAATAACAACTTAAGTTTATCCGTGAACTGCTTGTGAACTCTTTGGGGAAATGCTACCTGAACCTGGTGACTTGTCTTGAAATAAAAATAGAAGTAACCTGTTCCATATCATTTCAGTTTGAAACAGATTCCTTGAGGTCCTGCCAGAAAAAAGGAAAAAAACCCACATTTAATCTGTAGGAACCCTTCTAAAATGCACACAGGGGAAGACTGAGGGAAAGAATTGTTTTCTGCAAGCTGATTGGGTTTTGGCTCCCATTATTATTTGTACATTCCCATGCTATTTTTTAATCCTTTCTGTCTTCCTCAGTTGGGTACTTAAACTTTTCTAAGTTTGCCTCCTTTCTTTCAGTAGGCTACCACGCCCTGAGAGTTGGCTATCCTGGTGTTCTTTTGCCCTTTGTCAAGTCTTTTTGATCATGGTGCACACTTACCTCTGACACAGTGACATTACAGAATTTCTGTGATGATTCTCTATGTCAGGGGACCATTGCAGTGTTTTTGAGTCAGGTTGCAGATTTTCCTGTTTTAACATACAATGGATTTCTTGAATATGTCTGTTTAAGACTCCGTACCTGCTTTCCTGCTTTGAGCAAAGAATTAGAAGATGGAAGGACTACTGTTCATTTCCACATGTGCTGTTACTTTGTCTGCCTGGCATATTTCTGGGTTTTTTTGCAGGCCCTACAGTAGAGCAGCAAGGTGAAATGGCTCGAGCTGGTGGCAGGACCCTGGCAGCTCTACAGCCTGAGCAGGTGACAGAACACTAAGGCCTCGCTTGTTGAGCTGGTGAATGTGTGGCAAGTTTTACAACACAGATTTGTAACACAAGTGGGCCCCTTGGGGCAAGAGTCTATTCTTTGTGTGCCAGACCCATCATTTGGATTGTAGCATGCTTAAAGAGAAAAGCGGAAAGATAAAGTACCTTGGGGCTATGAAGTAATATACACTTTCACGTGGGGTTTATAAAAATTTTAATAGCGTCAGATATCACACAGAAATGAATTTTGATTGGAACTGCTGAAGAATTGACTGGAATAACTTGCTCCATTTACTCTGTGTACTGTATGCAAAAGAGGAGCTGTAGACAATCAAATATTGTTCTACAGCTGGGTAGATAAAATGTGGCATCTGTTGTTAAGGAGACAAGGTGGTCTTAAAGGAAGAGCATTGTGGGTTTCGTGAAGAAGATTGGGCATGGAAGGCAAGATAATAAAAAGCAAAGTAAAGGCTGAAGCAGTGTTCAGCATTTTTCAATGTGATGCAGGCTGCAAAAAATCAGCTGGCCCCAAGTATCACGGGAGTCAAGACAGTGAGAGGATGTGGTCAGTGTAAAAGGACTGAAGGGGACCAGGTGTCAAATAGCATGGACTTTTTGTAAGAAGTCAGATCAGAAACTATTTTCTTTTTCAGAGAGCAGAGATTATTTATCGTCTTGCTGATTTACTAACTGACCAGAGAGAAGAAATTCTCTTGGCAAACAAAAAGGACTTAGAAGAGGCTGAAAATAAAGGTAATATTTCAGGTCCTTCCATGATAATCCTATTGTCTTGAACCTCTTTGAGCCTTGAAGGAAATAAGCAGAATCTTCTGTCACCTGGGATTGGGTTGTATGGCTGTCACAGATTAGTGAACCCAGGACCTTCAGAGCTTGTCAGTGTAAACAGCTGCAGCTTGCTTAATTACATAAAAAAGATGCCTTAATCAGAGAACATACTGAGGCCTTACAAAACACCAAGCAGTATCTTGTAAAACAAACAAACAAAAAACCCCCTACAAAACCACAACAAATTACTGCTCCATTTTGCCAAACATCACCCTGTTATTGTCATACATAAAGTGAATATTTTCCGGGCTGGTTAATATTTGGCTCCTGAGGGGAAGGCTGTCACCTCTATACTTAAATTGAAGCTCTCCAAAAAGAACCATGTCCCCTTCTGATTGAGGAAGGTTCTCTTTAGGTGGCTTGGATTAAACCCATTCTTCTGGGTTATATTGATGCTTTCATTGAGAAGTTTGGATTGGGATGTGTACATACAGGGATAGCAAAATGACACTTCATTAATCGTAATACTTTATGGAAGATGCCAGGGAACTGTTTTTTACTGACCAGAGTACTTGAAGGGACGTTGCTGGGTTAAGTTACTGTCTGAACATGTTCAGACTAGAAAATTCAGGCCGTTCTTGCCCAGTCTGAACAGAAATGCTATGCATGCATCTGTGCTTTGGGATTTCTATCTGTCAGATAGAAAGATTAAATTACGCCCAAACCTTCCAGAAATACTGCAAGGATAGAAATTTGTAAGAAATTCAGACATATAGCAGTACTTGAAATAGGAGAAACCTTATCTTTGTGGATGTTGATGTTGCTTTGTGTACAAATCACCGCATTAAGTGAAATGTGGTGGTGAGTAAAATCATTGTCACATTTGAGCGGTCTTATTGTGGCTACTGGACTTAATGCTGTGCATTTTTCATCTCAGGTAGGTTTCTTGCTAGGGCATGGGAAATATCTGAATTTTCCTTAGGTTGAGCATTTGTTTAAGTTAAGGCTTTTGCTTGAGCCTAGGCAGACCAATCTACCTCTACCAGCACAATTTTTTCTTTCTTTTAGGGAGATTGGCACTTCCTTTATTGAAACGTCTAAGTCTGTCTACATCAAAGCTGAACAGCTTAGCCATTGGTCTGCGTCAGATTGCAGCATCCTCACAGGACAGCGTTGGCCGTGTAATTCGGCGAACACGAATAGCAAAAGACCTGGATTTGGAGCAGGTGACAGTGCCTATTGGTGTTCTTCTTGTGATCTTTGAGTCCCGTCCTGACTGTCTTCCACAGGTATGTAAGGAGGGCGAGTTGCACTGTTGTGAATTCTTTGATGACAAGAGTATTTCTGTTGGTGAGCAATTGTGAGGCTGCCAGAAGTCTTGTCTCAAAGGACTCTTGCTTGGATTCTTCTGAAATTTATTTTGTTGGCATCCCTATTTTTGCTGCAGAGATATTCTCAGGACTTACTTCTGCAGTGTACAGAGTTATTCAGGCCGGTTTGGGATGTTTTGTTTGTTTGTTTGCTTTAAAACAAACAAACAAAACCCAGCATATAGAAGGAGTTATCTTACATTCAGATGATACAGTTCGTGCATGTGTCTTATTGAATGTATGTTCAGTGCCTAACTCACAGCTTGGGAGGCTCCTACTGATGAGCGCTTGTTTTATCTGTCCGTGCTTCATACAGCTGAACTGCAAGCTGGGATTAAACAGAAATTTTTTAATATAGAAGCTAGTAGTTAACTGTAAATGTTAGGAATACATGATTAAAAAATTTTCTTAAAAAGGCTGAGCATAGAAAGCACAGAAGTTCCAGGCTTTGAGTGGTCTGTCCTATAGTGATACTGCTTGTGTGGTAATGAGGCAGAATGATAGCTTTTACTCAGTTGTAGTGAGATGGGTGCGAGGAAGAACGGTGTTCTAAGTTCTTAAGTACTGAAGTTGCTGGAAAGGCTAGTGAAAATGTCAAATAGTGTACTGTAAGTGAATGCCATTTATCTTGTGCCAGGAATAAGGCAGGCAAATACTTTCATTTGCAGTGCTGTGTGGGAGTATTGCTGTGAGTAAATGCTGTTATAATGCCTGAAATATGGGGGCTGAACTAACGTTGCAGAAGCAACCTTGATCTTATTTTCTAACTCACTCCTGAGTAATTCTAGTAGATTTTAAAAAGAAAGCAACAAAAAAAAAAAATCATTATCACAACACTGTTTTCCACAATTAACATTAGGTGTCTAGGGCGATTGATTGAGGAGTTCTCTAACATACAAGCAGGTGTTTGAGCAGAAAGTGATGGGTACAGGCATTTCAAAAAGAAGTGGGACTGAACCAGTGGACAACTTGGTACTTCATGCCTGAATTTTGTGAGTGGTCCCCATTTCATACTAAAAGGGAGTTTGCTGTAGGCAAAGTTCCCATGAAACAAGAAGGCACTAGTCTCTCTTGTCTACTGTTACTAGCTCCTTGCTGTTAGCTCTGTTCTTCATAGATAACGAGGAAGTTTCCTTGTTGAATTCTAGTCTGTCTTCCTGGACTTCAACCCTGGTCTCTTGCCTTGCGTAGCTGATGTCTCCCTCTTTCTCCTCTCCTTTATCTTATCTTAAAACTTACAGCAGACTGACTCTTGCTGGCTTTTTCCCTCCTTTGTTTTACAGACTTGGAATAGCTTGTCTTGGTAGTTGCTTTTCTTCCTGCCAGTGTCCTGTCCTCATACTTGCATCAGGTTCTCTGATGCGACTTCAGAGGATTGTCTTTGATTCCTCTGCGTTTGAATTGCATGGTTTCTCTCCTATACTGTAGCTGATAGTAGGATGGTCTCTGAGTGCAGAGGAACAGTTCTCTCCTCTTAGTCTACTACTGCATCTCATGCTTGTTTGGGTAAGCAATTGCAGGGGAAATTTTACTTTGTCCTGGAAGAGAGCATGCTTGATTTGCTCCCTGGAGATAGCTTACGTGGAGTTAGGTCAGTGCTCAGAGTTCAGTCTTGAGTTGCAGTAAAGAAGAATCAATTGCACATTACCAGTTAAAGTTTAATAAGCTTTTAATGAGCACATACAAATAGAATGTTTGCCTCTAATACTTACAAGGCCAAACTGCAAGCGTCCTTTCACAGACTGCTTCCTATAGATTCCACCAAATCCAATTGTTGCTCTGAAGTATAGTCATGCACTACTCTTCTTTGAAGGGATGGAACTGTTTTGAAGCCCTTTGTCTTCAGTTCTCCTTTTAATCACAAAGGGGTTTTTTATTTTTGTGTCTTAATTCTTGATTTTTTTTCTTTCTTTTAATTTTTTCGCATCAGTTCATGACCTTTCTTTTAATCTTATGCCTGCAGAATGGAATTCTTTATTTAAATAAGCTTATTTGTTTAGCTTTTCCTTGTGATACTGACCTTTGAACAGGCAGATACTTACAAGATGCTTTCAAAATATACTCAGACTGCTTTTTAGTGTCTAGTTTTATAAGTTAGAAAAACACACTATGTAAGGTAGACTTCCTAGACTATTAGACGTTAGTGTATTTTTCTGAAGTATTTCTTATTTTTCAATATTCTTTTCAAATAGCTGGCAGCAGGATGAGGTAGAATATCAAACATTGTGACTGTTGTTATCCATTTGATATTAGAAGGGAAGAGGAGATGATTTGAGGAGATGTATCCGATGGGCTTAACATTTTCCTGTATGAATGAGCCTCTAAATTGTGTCACTAAGCTAACTGCTTGTTAGGTGTGAGCCTGGCTAATTTTTGGCATCCACATCTCAACAGCATATAACTGATATACTAATGAGTGCAGATTTGGTGATGATACGTGCAGATGATGATAATGATACGTATGATCTTTCCCAGAAGATAGTAATACAGTAAAATAACTTTAAATGCTCAATTTGTTCCTTCCAAAAGGTTCTGGGGAGGAGGTGATTTTGTCTTCTAAAGGAGTGTATGCTGTGTTTTTTCCAAATATGTGGACAAATTTTGAGGCCATTGTGAATGGGATTTGGGTGAGGAAGAAAAAAAGGGATACAAAAGTAGAATAAGTCTGGGAAAAGAGCTTTATCATGTCTGGCATACTCCTAGGTAGAAAAGAACAAAAGGTGAAACAATAAAAAAACCTACCACCAGCACTCTGTTAAAGAGGTTTTCAGTTTAGTGGGGAAAACACGAATAAGATCTAGTGTCTGGAGATTGAACAAATTTGGTATATGTTTCCAACAGCAAAACTAATTTTTTTATCTCACTTCCAAAAAGCGGTGGCTTCTTTGCAGCATTTTTTGACATATAGTCTAGTTGTGTTGCTGGACTCAAATGGGTGAAGTGTGGCACTGTAAACAGAAAGGCAACAATATCAGTTGGTTCCTTCTGGTTATAGACGTAAAGTGATACAGGTGATGCTGGGCCTGTTGTCTAGAAGGTTTTTTTTTCCCCACACTTTTGGCAAGTGTTGTCTGTTTATGACTTCTGTTTTAGACAGCACAGTAAAAATGTTCTTCACGCTCATAGGGAGAGCTTGTTAGCCACTTTCTGCCAGAATGGTTTGGGACAACAGTTCTTGCACCTAAAATTATTCTCCTTGGGGTGATTGCCCACACAGCTACCCAGTTCATACCAGAGCCTACGTCCACGGTTTCCTCTGACTTGTTGACTGCACTCCCCTCCTGGCAATAGTTCCCTGAAAACTCAAGTTTGTTCCTGAAACACTCATTTCTGGAGTTAAATGTGCTGTTACTTGTAATAATTTTTTGGTGCCATAAAATGAAAGCTGTAGATTAACATTTTGTAAATCAACAGGATTAAAAATCCCATTCTTAATCTATTTTGTGGGTGTTATACCAACAGAAGAGACAGTTTACTTTTCTCTTTCTTTTTAAAAAAAAAAAATTCTTTTCTGACAGGTGTCTGCTTTGGCCATTGCCAGTGGAAATGGCTTACTACTTAAAGGGGGGAAAGAGGCAGCACATAGCAATCAAATCCTTCATCATCTGACACAAGAAGCACTCTCTATTCATGGAGTCAAAGATGCGGTGCAACTAGTAAGGGGTTGGAATTAAATCAACAATTTATTTGCTACGTATAAAACGTATGGGCAGAACTTGAGAGTTCAAATCATAGACTGTTTATTTTGCAACTACCACAGGTGAACACAAGAGAGGAAGTAGAAGATCTCTGCCGTTTGGATAAGCTTATAGATCTAATCATTCCACGTGGTTCATCACAGCTGGTCAGGAATATCCAGAAAGCAGCTAAGGGAATCCCAGTGATGGGACACAGCGAAGGGATCTGTCATGTGTATGTGGACACAGATGCCAGCGTTGAGAAAGTCACACGAATAAGTAAGCCGGGAGAGGGTGACTTGAATCTCATGGGTGTCACTGAACATATTTCAAGTATGCAATATGGTTATGGTAATTGATAATTGATATACTGTTCAAAATCTTTGTCATAAATGTTATGTAACCAATTATCTACTCTTAAACCTCAGTCAGAGACTCAAAGTGTGAATATCCTGCCGCCTGTAATGCTCTGGAAACTCTCTTAATTCATCGAGACTTGCTGAGAACCCCGTTGTTTGATCAGATCATAGACATGTTGAGAGTAGAACAGGTTAGTCACTCATGCTTGTGTTTTGCTTTGTGGGTGTTTTTTTGTAGCACTTCAGAAGCATTTGGTCTGGCTGGTGTAGCCCTCTTTAGTTTTATGATGGCATAACACCTATGTTATCCATGTCTCTTTTGTGCACATAAATGAACTTACCGAGAACTTTTTCTGCTTCTCCACACAACCCCAAGTTTTTCCATAGAAATGATCTGCAAGCAGCTTCTTCAAGACAGCTACATGCCATTGTTGGGATACAAACAATTTTATATAGCAAACATCATCTTGTGCCTTAGAAGAGCATATACACAACCCTTTCTCTACCCTTCTTGTTTCTGACTTACCTGCTGTTAACCTCCCAGATGCAAAGCCTCTTCTTGAAACTGTTCATTTAGCTTCTTGGCCAAGTGAATTTCCTTTCTGTTTTTTTCCTTTCTGAATCTACTTCATCCCCATTTTTTTAAAACTTTCATCTTGCATGCCCTTTATCCCCATCTGTCTTCCCTCCTAGTATGTCAAAGGAAGAGCAAAAGGCCAGTATATTAATTAGCTGTCTTGATATGGGTAATGTTTTTTAGTACAGGTAGCAGAGATGCATTGGGAGAGAAATATCTGTGAAGAAGTGTGAATTGCACATAAATCAAGGGTTTTCATACAGCAGTATGTATTGGGCAAATAGAGTGTACAGGCAGTGATAAATGTAGATAAAACAGAGAGGCCATACGTTATGATGATGTTGAAAGGGTCATAGCAAAGGAAGCTGACAGGTAGTCAGGAGCAAGTCCTCACGTAATGGATTTTTTCATGTCTTGTTTGCTTGTTTCCTGGGAAGGGTAGAGCAAATGGTAGATCTCTGGATTTAGGTTGGGAGGAATGTGAGGACTAGTGCATTTCCACTACCACCCATCCAGCTCCTAATACAGTGAGGAGGATATTACCTCTGTCTAATCTGACCTGACAAGAAGAAACATGCAAATATTGGGCAGGATTATGCAATTAAAATAATTTATAGTCACACAAGAAAACGCCATTTTTACAGATACCTTCTTAAAAGCCTTCAAATTTCAAATTTTGCAGACTTGTGCCTTATTTCCCATTTATGTTTGTCTTGTCAAAATTTTCAGTGTTTTATTTGCGTGGGGATTTCTCTGCTGTATCAGTTCTAAATTATCTCTCATTGTTTAGGTGTCTCAGCTGCTGTGATTAAACTCAGAGACTAGTAATGCATTAGATCTTCTTTGTAACAATTTTTTTTTCTGTCACCCTTTATGAGGGTGACAGAGCACTGGAACAGGCTTCCCAGTGAGGTTGTGGAGTCTCCTTCTCTGGAGATATTCCAAACCCGCTTGGATGCAGTCCTGTGCAACTTGCTTTAGGTGAACCTGCTTTGGCAGGGGGGTGGGACTAGATGATCTCCAGAGGTCCCTTCCAACCCAACCATTCTGTGATTCTGAGAAATGAAAAATACCCGCATGAATTTTCTTGTTTTGAACCCACTAACTTCTTTGTGTCTGAAACATATGCTTCAGAAAGGGCTGGTGTTAGTTTACAAAATAAAACGGTAAAAGCCATTCAAGATCTTAAGTCTTGTAGGTGCAAACTTGGAAGCATTCCCGTAGTTGTTCTCTGCACTGCAGTTGCTTTCTTAAAACAAGGGCCGGCTGCAATATTTTAACTGTTTTCCTGGTACTAGTGTTGTACTGTCTCCCTGCCTGATTTTTCCTCTAAGTGATGCGATTGCTTTAAATAATTTGAAATTAGTCTTGAACTAGGAGCATGCCATGGTAGGTAGCCAGCCTAGCATATCAGCTATTGTACCTTGTTGCTAGTTCATCAATCTGCTAAATTTCCCAAAGTGTTTATTTTTCTTAACACTGCATGCAGTGAACATTTGATTCACAAATGTGGGTTAGCCCCAGTCAGCAGCTAACCATAATCCAACTGCTCGCTCACGCTCCCCTGCCCTAAGTGGGCTGGGGGAAGGGAATTAAGAGGAGCAAAAGGAAGGAACCTTGTGGGTTGAAAGAAAGATACTTTGGTAAGCGAGGGATACTCGCCATCGGACACAATAGACCAATGCCTACCTTCTTCAAACCCCCCTCCCTTCAGTTTGTATTGCTGTACATGACATTATATGGCATATATATATGCCATATAATATGTGGTCAGTTCAGGTCAGTTATCATGGTTGTGTCCCCTCCCAGCTTCCTGCACACTCACAACCTTCTTGCTAGGCGGACAGAGTAAGGGAAAAAGAGAAAGCCTTGATGCTGTGCAATCTCTGTCCAGCAACAGCCAAAACATCGGTGTGTTTTCAACACTGTTTTAGTCACAAGTCAAAAACATAGCACCATAGGGACTGCTATGAAGAAAATTTCACCATGCTTTCACCTGGAATGCATCAGTATGGTCAGCAGCGCAAAATGTTTCTGGTATTGCAGGTGAAGATTCATGCTGGCCCAAAGTTTGCATCTTACTTGACATTCAGCCCCTCAGAAGTGAAATCTCTCCGCACAGAATACGGGGACCTGGAGTGCTGCATTGAGGTGGTGGACAGTGTCCAAGAGGCTGTTGAACATATCCACAAGTATGGAAGTTCTCACACAGATGTTATCATCACAGAGAATGGTTAGTGATCCATCTGCTTCCTTAAGCTACTGTTTTAGTCTGCTTGCCAATTCTTGGAGTTAGTGTAACTACTTACATTGCAGTAGTTGGTCTTCTCTTGGGTCTTGTACTCAGCATAACCAACTGGAGGCCTGTGAGCTATGGAGTCCTGTTTAGCTCAGAGAAAACATGTGTGGCCCTTATTGCAGGACGTTAAGGAGTGTGCTCGAGCGCTTGGCCAATGGCAAATCAGCACATGCTCTTGCCAGGCACGTTGCTTTGTGTTCCTGTACTGTGCAGACTTACTGCATCAGAGGGTTTTGCAGAAACATCTCCTGAATCCTGGAGATGTCCTTAGGCCTCTAAAGGCTGATGAGATGAGCTTCTATAGTACCTCACTGGAGGGAACAGGGATTGTAGGGAAGGTAGACTTTATCCACTTTGTCTTCCCATGTCATTTTTTGTATCTCACAAACAAGAACCACAGATGTTTTCCCCCTACCTCTCCCAGTCTTTTACTTTCCACTTCTGCATCCCTAGTATAAAAACTGCATTTATCTCAATTCACAGTTTCTCGCCTCTTTGTTGTGAACTTGTGCTCCTTTGTGCATCTCTGTGCTGCTTCCATCCCACCTGTCCTATGTGCAGTTTGAACACTGTGCCAGTTCAAAACCTAGCTAGAGCTGTACCCAGCCGAAGGTTGACTCTCATACCAAACCTGGAACTCTTGAGGATCAGCTGCAGTAAGGTCATGTTGGTTTGTGGCTGATCAGTGTGTGAGTCAGGCTTCTGTTTCTGTAACTCCTGCTGAGCTTAAATGAGCGTCACTAAAATGCATGCATTTGATACCATAACCCACTGCTGCAGGACCTGGTGCACTAGTGATTTGCTAGGGAGTGTACTGGAAACAGAGCTGAGCTTTAATGCTCATCTTACTGCTAAAGGCGACTGACCTGCAGCTCACAACCTTACAGAGAATGGAGTCCTCCAGAGGACTGACTTGTATAACTCTTCCTGAGCTTGCTCAGGTCTTGCATGTTCTGTGTTAAACTGGGTTAGTTAGCTGATGAGGTATTTCTGCATTGTATTTCCCAAATATTATCTGCAATAGCAATTTACTTTAGGATTTTTCATTATCTGAAGCAATTCCATGTTTGATATTAATGGAGAGTTGACTCTAGTTTAGTTGTCTCATTTTGACTGCAAAATGTTTTTTGGGGCAGCTGTCCTTTCTCCCTCTTCCCCAGTTAAGGGTGAAACTACCACATACATCTATCCCAGTTTGCAGGTTCTATACTGGATATCTTTAGAATTAGACATCTTTTTGCTTTCTTCTAATCTTTGCAAGCTTCCTGTAATATCTGCAGTTGTGTCTAGTTGATAAGCATACTGGGAAGAAAGTATAAATGAGTGTATCTTAGCCCAGGCTATATAAATACTGCCTGATAAGGTTGCATGTGAAAGTTGTAGTACTATATCTGTTCACTGTATTACGTTGTGTTTGTTGGAGTGCATGATAATTCTGGATGTACTGGATTTTATTTTTCCCTCTGCTTCTTTCCCAGAGAAAACAGCAGAGTTCTTCCTCCAGCATGTGGACAGTGCTTGTGTTTTCTGGAATGCCAGTACCCGATTCTCTGATGGCTATAGATTTGGACTTGGTAAGAGAGAAAATACTGCAGGAATGTGACTGCAGGATTTTCTGTTGTGTGAAAAGTGTGGCAGTCTGAATCCTGGAAGATAGGATTAGACTCTGCTCTTACTGTCTAATATAAGGTTTACAGGAAACGTACCATAGGAAAAGTTGAAGCCTAGACATTTCATCCACGCAGAACAGCAGATAGTCTAGTATCTCTTTCCTGACAGAACTAGCTAGTACTCCTATGTAGACCATTTAGATCAATTTAGCAGTAGGGAGCAAAGATGTTTTGGATCCTTTGAAGCTCTGTTCAATCAGAATAAAGTTAAGTTGCTGCATGCATGTAATGATAGAACAATGCAACATGGGATCTGAAACTGGTGAATAGTTTTTCTTTTGTTTATCTTTCTAATGATGCTGTGAAGAATGCCATGCTTTGATCCTGCTGGGCAGACTGAGCTGCTGTCCATTGTGCCAGCCCTGCAGTGTTACGGAATGAAAGGCAGGAACCAGACCAAGTATTGGTTGCTTAAATAAACAGATGCACCTACTGTAAGTTGCAGAAGACAAGGGAAACATTCTTTTCTGAGGCAGAAACTCAGAAATCTCTATAACAAGCTATTACTGTGTCAGCTGGAACATTCAGTGTTCCATGTGATTAAAAAATTTGAGTTTCCAATATCTCCTCAATATGATAAAAAAGACACAAGATCACAATCTTGACTAATTTAACCCGCCCCCCCCTTTTTTTTTTAAAGCATTAAACCCTGAGGAAACAAGTCTAAGATCCATGTGAGAGTTACCGTTCTCTCTTGCATTTTTCTCTCTAAAAGTAACTCTGTATCAGCCAGAAATATAAACATTACAATTTGTAATGTAATAGTTACGCTCCTATAACTTTTAAGTCAGAACAGGTAAACATCGGGCATTTGGAGGGGAGCAGAGAAAGGAAGGTCACTGAAAGGCAGGCAGCTTTTTTTACATAAAGGTGCAAAAATGCTTAGTATGAAGTGAACATCTTATGAGACTTGACTGCCTTTGTGTGTTTGTGCAGGTGCTGAAGTGGGAATTAGTACTTCTCGTATCCATGCACGTGGACCAGTGGGAATTGAAGGACTCTTAACTACGAAGTGGTTGCTGAGGGGAGACAATCATGTTGTTTCTGACTTCTCAGAGCATGGAAGCATGAAGTATCTTCATGAGAGCCTCCCTCTCCCTCAGAGAAACACCAGCTAAGAACATTGGGGTGGGGAGAGAGGGAACTCAGGGGAATAAATATTTCCTGAAGATGTTCAGGCTTCAGGGCGCTCGCTAGGGAGGGAGGTTGTTTTTCATCTTCAGGAACATTGTTCTTGGTCACTGTGCAGTACAATGAATACAAAATGACCCCATCTGTTAGAATTCCCCCTTCCCCCGCCTCTTACCTGTTTCCTTACATAGTATCTGCAAATTGACCTCACTTTTCCCAGAGAGAGACTTCTTCAAAACGTACAGGAAAGATTTAAATATCTGCTGCATTCTTTTTTATCCCAATACTCCCTATAGCAAATATGCTTCGTGATGGAGCATAATATTATTTTTTCATGTCTTTGTTTTATTCAAATATCTGTTCTGGAAAACAAACTTGATAAGTTGGGGTTTTTTGGGTTTTGTTTTTGTTTTTCTTCAGTCTTATGATCGTGGCAGCTCTTGAAAGCCGGAAAGCTTTACACTTACTTTCTTTGTATTTGATTACTTTTGTGATAAGGGGATAGGTGTTCCAAATGCATAGTAAGCTTTTGACCAAGAAACTTTTTATATCTAATTTCTTTGTATTGTTGACTATTGTAGATAAATAACGTAACTGTCCACTCTGAATTTTGTTACTTATTTGTGCCAAAGGTTTAGTTTTCTTTGGTTTTATATAAAACTTAAACTTTCACAACCCCAACCTCCAAAAGCACTACTACTTCGACATTGGGTTTTCCTGAATAAAACTGTGAAGAAGCGCTTCCCTTCGTGCCGCGGTGAGGCGAGGCGAGCACGCTGCCCCGGTAGCGGTGGGTGTCCCGGTCTGCCGGCGGCAGGCGCTCGGGACTGCAGCTGCTCATAGGCGCATGCGCAGTAGCGTTGTTTAGACGCGCTCCCAGCCATTGCGTGGCGACTGCGCTTATGGACTGGCGCATGCTCGGTAGTGTTGTTTCGAGGCGCTCTCGGCTGTTGCTAGCGACTACTCTTAGGAACTGGCGCATGCGCAGTAGCGCTTCTAAAAATTCCGTGCTCGCTCCTGCCGCCCGGTGTCCAAATCTTTGTACTGCAGCTCCATTACCGCGAATGCGCGGTGACGCCGCC